ACCCTTTTTGTGAAACACAATCAAAAGTTACCTTAAAATCACTTAGCCAAACTGATAATTCAAAGATGTTAAAAACAAAAATCTTACTCTTTTAGAAAGGAGCAGAAAAAATGCACTGTTACAACATTATAAACTACTGTCAACCCATATTTCAAAAAAATTGACATAAAGCTTCTCTAAAATTGTAATGTGCCAATGTATATACAACCCCACTTACAAAAAAGTCCATTTAAACATAAATTGTACAAGATTGCATCCAGTGCTGTTTTCAGGTCAGGTTCCCCTGCCTTTGCACTTACTCAGCTCCCAGCAGGTGTCCTTCCAAACTGGGCTCAGAGTTCTTCCTTTGCAGTCCAGCTCACAACCCAGCATTCTCAGAGGAATCTACTTTCTTACTGAACAAGGATGCCACACAGAAGGGCAGATGTGGCTCTCTGCACACTCAGGACGCAGGACCACACCCTCAGGGAGCTCTGGGCTTCATCAGACAACTTTCTGCTATTTTTAGTGTGGTTTCCTTGTTTAGGAGCTCTTTTTGCATCTTCTGAGATTTCAGCCCCTTCTTCTGGACAATCTATTGCACAACTGCATTTTGCTTCTGTAAAGCTGAGCAGCACATGGATGACCACATGTTCTAGGCAAACTGATCTCAAAAACATAGTCTCTAGCAGTTCACAGTCATCTTACATCTCATGGCTTAGGAAAGCTTGCCTGTTTACCCAAGTAGCATGCACAACAAGTGTCTGTTGTTTCTTAAGCTAATTATTCTCCAAAGCCCCCAAACCATGTTTCTGGTACAATTGAAGAAGGTCTTGTGTAACCCTGAAGTAACAGCATGCTACTAACTTTACGCCCCAAACTGTGAGTCCCAACCCTCAGTGTGAGGCTCTGGGGCTAAACATTCTACTGTAAAGGAACAGAGGCAGCAAAGGGGCCACACAATCTGAGGGCCACCATGTCTCAGATGCAGCTAATTAGAGTCCTGAGATCAGGTGAGTCCAATTCAGGCTGTGGTGAGGTCCAAGGTTATCAGAGCACTTGGGCTTGTGCAGGGGCCAGTGCACACATACTTCTGCACTCCTGCAATCACACAGGGGCTCCCACCATGCCCAGGCAAAGGGAAATGTCTGGGAGCAGGGGTGGCGCCTGTGTATTGCCATCAGAGCTCTGACCTTCAAGTCAGGGAATTTGATTTTCCTCCAGGCTCTGTCATCAACCAAGGATCAGGGACAGAGGTTGCATCCTGGTCAGGATGTGTCCTGTGGCACCTCCCATTGGAACTTTGTGATTAGGAGAGAGGAAACAGGCTTGCAATGCATGGAGCCAGAAGCTAGTCTGTGGAAGATTAATTATTCCCACCATAAACATCAAAAATTGTGAGTTGAGTGTTTGGCTTTTTTTCTTTGACTCCTAGGCAAACAGGGAAGTTTTGTCCTATTGGAAATATACTCACTAATATGGTATGTGCAATGATTAGCACACCAGGCATTTATTTTTATTTTCACGAGAATTGGATGAGCTAGAATTTCTTCAATTCCACATTTGTAAGGTGCAGACCCATGTAGCCAAACTCCCCACAGCGAGGACATCTGCATGTGCTTCAGCACAGACCCGGCCGGCCTGTGGCATCTGTCCTCTCACCTCTGCCTGTCCCGATGGAGTCTGGCAGCTCCAAACGATACAATATGAAACATTGCTGGGAAGAGTGAGAAATACATGATGTGCTCAGTGAGCATTGTCAGCTGAAGAGTGTTTAAGATCATTGGCCTTAAGTCAAGAAAACCTAAGAAGTACTAAAGTCTTATAGCTCATATATGAAAGGAAACTGTCAGAAGCTTTTTCAAGTTTGACAATCTGATAATTTGGATGATAAGATCAATTATGAGTATTGAGGCAGAAAGAAAATGTTATACACCATCAATTATAAAACGTGATCAAAGTGGTTAATGGGAAGATTGATCTATTTTACTATTATATTTATACAAAATGATTTTGTAATATCAGTGTGCTATGAAGAGGCAAATAGGGATTCATTAGCCAAGTATAAATATGTAGGAGGAAATTATTACAGAGTTGTGTCAATAGTTCATTAATTAAAATTTTATGTGAGTAAATAAAGATATCATGGACTAGGGAGAGAAAAACCTGCCCTTCCATCCCTAGAAGGGAGGAATAGATGAATGAGAACAGAGAAGTTGTATCATGAGCAGAAAAACAAGGTTTCTCCCAAGCTGCATCTTTGAAACCTCAATTAGCCTCTTCTTTTCCCAACTATCACTTTATTACTCAATGAAAGATGTTCTTCCCTAGAATCAGGGGCTATCAGAAAATTTTCTATCAGTAAGTGAACACCCCACTGCCTAGGGGACCTAGGTCCATCCTTACACATATATTTCGGACCTCAGAGAAGGGGTTTTTGGACAGAAGGTTTCACATCTGGCTCAACCTTATGTGTTCTATGGACATAGGCCCTGGGTCCCCTTTGCTGTCCAAACTGGAACTAGCTTCTTTACACCCAGCCCTGGGGTGCTGTGAGTCCACCAAAACCCTGCTTCAGAGTCTCTTCCTGAACCTGTGATGACCCTCCTTCCCCTTGGTCAGTAGCTCCAGGTCCCGTGGTGTGAGTATTCTGTTATTGCAACAAACCAGAGAACTCCAGTACGTTGGTGATAGACTTAGTTGAGGTAGCCTGATTGTGCTAGAAGAAATGTTGTTTTTCTGGATTTTGTGATGGTTGCAGTATTTATCAGCATTTTAAAACGTGTAAATGGCTGTGATTGATTTTGTCTTCTTAAATAGACAATAAATTCTGTGCTTAGTTTTGTGTTGGTAATACTGTGAGTAGTAATAGTCAGTAATACTGCTAGTTTTCATCCACAGAGTCCCACAAATCATATAAGCCTCAGGCCCCACAGCACCTGGGTCCACCTGGGTCCTTGGGTGAGTGTCACCCGCCCTGGAAAGACCACACTGGCTGACTCTTCGTCCTCCCTTGACTCATCCCTCCTCCGCCACTGATTCATCTGTGTTGAGGTGAGGAGGTTTCTAACCTCTGCAGGTTCAATCTTTTGAGACTGATTTGTGACTTTATTTTAAGTATAGGAATTTTTAAAGGGGCATAGTATTTTCAAAGCTTGACCTCCTCAGGATCCTCCTTTACACGACTCCACATCCCCATAGCTTCAGGACACAGCCAGTGCCCTTGGCTTGGCCCAGGAGATGAACCTGCTCATGCTCAGGCTCCCCCACTGCTGCCCACCTGGGGCGCAGACACTCAGGGAGAAGGTGGGCGAGCCTTGTACACAGCCCCCAGCACATCCCCACTTGTCCAAAGACAGAAAGTTTTATAAGTAAAGGGACAAGTGAGAGGAAATCACTGTGTGTGGATGGTAGTTGCTTATGTCAAACTGAGGCAAAACTTGAGGAACTCCCTGCAGGAGGCCTTCACCCCTGACCCCCTCCCCTGGGTTTCTCAGCACCTGCTGCTCTTACTGGGCCCCCTCCTACCCACAAAAGTCTGGATCACTAAGTCCATGAGGCCCCCTGCACCCCACACCTGGGCAGGGTCACGCCCAGACTCAGACCTCCCCTGCTCAGGCCTCTGGGCGGTGCTTCTCTTCCCTCCCCCAGAGACTTGTTACTAAAGGCAGGGCTGAGGCTCTGCATGCAAGGTGGGCACGGAGTGGGAGCGCCTGTTCCCCTCGCCCTCCCCGGCCTTCCCAGCGCTGGCCTTGCTGGTGCAGCAGGTGAGGGGCCGGCCTGGGGCTGTTTGGTGGACTCCCCTTGTCATTTCCCTTCAGTGTTCACAGCAGTGCCCACAAGTCACCTGGTCTCTGTGACTGTGAGCATGGAAGGTATTTGCAAACCTGCCCCAGCCAGCCCTGAGGGCTGCACCCCGCTGTTCTGAAACAGCCAATGGAAGGACACTGTGGGGTGGGCCCAGTGTGCCTCTAAGGACTGTCACCTCCTGTTCTGGTCTGGAAAGCATCCACTGTTCCAAGGCATTAAGCTGACTCCCAGGTGGTGGTCTTTGTGAATTAAAGTGTACTGCTTGGAAAAAGAAGAGCCCACGGCAAGTCAGTCCTATTTGTGTCTTAACTTCTCCATGCCTAAGGTGAAGCTTGATGTGAGGACTTGCTTTCAGGCAAACTCCAGCCAAAGGGCTGGTAGGTGTAACTGTAAAACCTTCTAGGACACGACCTCCCAGCTTAGGGCACGACCTCCCAGTGTAGGGCACGACGCCCAGGATGGACCAGGGCAGGTACGGCCTTCACTCTAGGGTTTCTCCCAACTTTAGTTCTGGTTGGTGTTTCCCCCAACCAGTTACACAGACCAAAGACACACGACGCTTTTAGCCTTTATTTTCATGTAGGGACCTAAGTAATTTGGTGGAGTGCATGGAAATAAATTGCTACTTATTAGTCTCTAGGGAACTCGATTAGAGAAAGTCAGTCCCTGAAGTGTGACCAACTCTGCAGACGTGGGTGGCATCTACTGCCTGGCCGGCACCGTTGAGGCCTCCCCCCTGCCTGGCGTCCGTTAGGGCAGGAGTGCAGGGACGGGGCCAGCAGCCGGCACCTGCTCCACGGGCCCTTCACCAGGAGCCACTGTAGCTGAGCACCCGGGCTCCACCCCTCATGCCCTTGTCCCTGCTCTGAGACTCAGATGTGCCCGAGGTGGCCGCTCATTTCCCTGATGGGCTTCTCAGCTCTCAGGCACCCATTTGCTGTCTAGACCCAGCCGGACAAGGAGCCCTCACAAAGGGGCTGCTGAAACCCTTCTGTTTTTTCCCTTTTCTTTTGAGATAGGATCTTGCTGTGTCACTCTGCTGGTCGGGAGCAGTGACAGGATCACAAATCGATGTAACCCCAATCAGTTTGACTCAAGTGATCCTCCCACCTCAGCCTCCCAAATCAGTGGGGTTACAGGCTGAGCCACCACGCTGTGCCCAAAACCCTCCTCATGTGCACATCCCCAAGACAGGAAAAACTCAAGACGGAGCCAATGCTACTCTTTTATTAAAGGAGGCAGGAGCAGAGCGTGGTGTACCAGCGAGTCTGAGAAGCAGTAGGGAGAAAGGAACAGGTAGAGCCACTTGGCTGGGCAACAAAGGCCTCCTGAAGCCTTGTCTACCTGCCTCCCTCCCGGGGCTGATGCGGGGAGGAGACCTACACCAGGGTGTGGCCTCCATCCCAGGCAGGGAACACTACAGGGAGGTGAGAGATGTGGGGAAATGGGGGGGGGTGCAGCCCAGCCTGGAACTGATCCCCAGGCCTTCTGACAGCTGGAATTCACCAAGGTCATTGAATCCTCCCAGCGAACACTGTAGATCTAAAAATAGCAGAGCTATTCCTGTGAAAGGGAAGAGAGAGGGACAATCAGTGCTGGTCACAGTGACAGGGTAGATGCCCAGCCATGGGATGTCAGGGTGGGGGCGAGGAAGCTTGGGGCTGAGACACTGGGCCCCTACTAACCCCACCAAATCCCAGGACTCCCAGCTCGACTGTGCAGTCACTGCTCCATGGCCCTCCCAGGGCTCCAAGAGCACCAGCTGGCCCTGTGTCCCCCACCAAGCCCACAGGACTTCACCATCCTGCCCCAGTGCAGCCCTGGAAGGGGCAGCATGTGCATAGACACTGGAGGCCAGAAGGTGCAGGCGGGGGGAGGAAGCTTGCTGTCCCCAAGCTCCCTTCACCTCCAGCCCCGGTTCAAGCTCTAAGAGGGCTCAGAGGGAAGACCCAGGGAGGAGAATTTCCCTGAAAGAGCTGGAGCACTGGGAGTGGCTGACAAGGGGAGTGTGGCTCTCCCCAGAGCAGAGACCTCACAGAAATCAGCGGGGGCCTTGGAGCGGCTGGTGTTGGGCAAGCAGGGGCCGCCTCGGAGGGCTTGGGCCACGTAGAGGCCTCTGATTCCCTCTAATCTGCTCAGCATGGCACTGGCTATGGGCAGGGGGCCGAGGCTGGCACTGAACAAACCCTTCTACTCCCCAACACCCAGTTCTGAGGCTGATTCCTCCAGCACTGCAGGGAACACCCCAGAATAAGCAGGGTTGTCATCTGAGTACCCCATTCCCAACTAAGGCCCTCTTTGCAATTCAAATTAGCCATGCACACACACCCTCCCATCCTCCCCATATGCACACAGGAATGCATCTATGTAAACTCACATGCACCCCTCACCCACAGGCATCTATGTATGAACACCCACACTCCCCCACCCGCACTCCAGTGCACCTCCCCACACCTCTCTATGTGAACATGGACATGCATGCATTTCCCCACACTCTGTGTGCTTGCAAACACTCATGCACCCACACACCTCCGTGTGTACACACACACCCCTGAACATGTGCGGGATCCCAGGAACACACACATCCCCCTCTGCAGTGCATGACTGGCCCCTGACCCACATCAGGCACATACCCTCTTCAGATGCGGCCTCGCCTGGGACAGTTGTCCAAGTAGGGCTGGGACTTGGTTCATGTGGTCCGGATTATCTCCAGGTACAACGCAGCAACGGTCTACACATGTGCAAGAGCAGGATTCACCTACAGCACTGCCGTCAATTTCACACGCACACACACATAGGTAGTTCGCTGTTGCTGAGTTACTGCCTGTGCCCAGGGCTTCATGCCTACATTTGTGAGCTGCCACACTGTCACCTGCAGGGCACGCAACACCCCTCTCCTGGATATCAGGGTGCTGGGCCACAGGTGCTCCCTTGCAATTCACTTTCTGTGAACAACACCTACAAGGTGTCGCATGCAGCAGGACAGTGGAAGGTGGCAGCCAAGGACTAAGCCCTCACTGCATTCAGGAATGGCAGGCACAGGTCTGGGCAGCCAGCCCGGGTGGGCCAATACCCAGTCCCTGCACCAGGAGCACAGGCGTGGCCTAAGCACAAGTGAAGGCTCCGTGTAGCAGCAAGGATTCATCACATCCTGCAACTGTGGCCCAGGTGCAGGGAGCGCTGATCCATCCTTGGAGGGCTGTCTTCCTACGAATCAGTCTCAGCTGACTTCCAGCCACCAGCACACAGCCGGGCAGAATCCCACTCACTGTATTTCCCCCAGATTTATATATTCCCACTCTCGTTTGTCTGTTGGAAATGAGATGCTTCAAACACACAGAGGGAGACCCATAGACTGCACTCAATTGCCTCTGTTTTTTACTATGATTTGTTGGCAACATTTCTCAAGTGCATCACACACCTGCATGTCTTCCATTTTAATTACACAATAGAACTGACCCCCCTCTCTGCACAGGGCCTCCCCCAGACACTGCATGTCAGAACTGTGGAGCAGCAGGGAAGAGGCTCTCTGGGATCAGGGTGCTAGACCTTGCACTGTGGATCCATGATTCCTCTAGTATCAGTCTGCCCACCTGTCAAATGGGCTCCCAGGACCAATGATGTATAGGGTCTTGTGCATCACTCAAAATTAGAGCCACCCTGGAGAGGCGCAGGCCAGCAGAGACCACAGCACCAGGGGGTGCACCTCAGGTTCCCGGGAGAGGACAGTGGCTGAGGGTGCAGGAGGAGAAGCGGGGCTGCCTGGACTCCCTGAATTTTGAGAGCAGGTGGGAGGAGCTCTACACGCTGGCTTGCCATGCCACCCTGTGCTGCTGTGTCGCTCTGGGCAGCTGTGCAATGGGCGCAGGGCAAGCTCGGGCCCAGCAGCCCTCCCTGCCCCACCCCCACCCGACCCCTTCCCCATGCTGAATGCATCCCCCTCTGCCAGAGTCTAGCTGCGCCAGGCTGCAGCTGGCAGAGGCAGGGTTCGTGCGTGGTCCTCTGCACCCCAGCAGGTGCTCAGCTGCCCGTGGCTGTGGGTGGTGGTCTGCCCGGCTCAATGTAAAGGATGCTCACCTGGGGGCTGCTCCCAAGGCCATGACATTTGGAGGGAAGCGTGTAACTTCTGGACTAGGAGGCCAAGTTCCCCTGGTGGCATCTGCTGAGGCACTCAGGGATGAGGACATGCCTCCTCTGTGCGCACATTATGGCCTGAATCTAGCCTTGAGGGGGCGTTGGTTTAAGCAACCATCTCTATCCCGCAAGTGGCCAGACACACTAGAAAAACGCCATGGACAGGAAACAGACTTGCTGCTAAAACATGACGGTGGCTGCAGGTTAGAGGAGTCTGAGGAGTCAGGGCAGGGGCCATGATGAGAGCCTGGGCATGTCCTTCAGTACAAAGGCCATCAGTGGGACAGCAGGGAAATCTGAGTAAGCCTGAGCATTTGAAAATTGAATGTGTCACTGCTCATTGGCTGGTAATGCTCTCTGTGGGGCAAACCCAGCCAGGACTCAGGACCCCGTGGGGAGGGGGCAGCACGCACCTGCCGAAAGCCACTCACTGCTTCCCCCAATCGGCTGTAGTGTGAGTCATTGCTCTCCTCGGTGTATTTGCTGGTGGCAAAGTCCAGCTCCCGCTGCACGCCCTCATCATTGACATCTGCTTTCTCGATGCCGACCACCCCTTTGGAGTTCTTGGCCAGGGGCATGGCCAGGGTCACAGCCAGGGTCACGGACAGGATAGCCAGCAGGAGCAGTGGGGCACGCAGGGGCCTGGCCATGGTCTGCTCAGATGCACAGTGAGAAGCTGGAGCTGCAGAGGAGCCAGTGGTGTATCCTGAGTTCTCAGCCCCCTCCTGCAGGCTGCAGCGTTTTACCCTGCTAGGGCCCCCCCACCCCGCCTGCCACCTGGCTCGCTCCTCCTCTTCCTCCTCCATCTCCCTTCCTTCTTGACCCTGCACCCAACCCACCACTTCTCCAGTCCTCCTCCTCCTCCTCAGTGCTCCCAAGCTAGTGTCGCTCTGTCTCCAGAGAGGTCACAGTGAAAGCAACATGACCTCTTCACTGTTTCCCCAAAAAAAGGGTCAAAGAGACATCTTGGCCTCCTGAAGTTGTTCCAGGTCAGGGTCACCTCTGAGCATTTGGTCAAGGTGTGGAGTCCTCAGGGCAAAGTGTGACATCAGAGGATCCTGGAAAACCCAGCCCACATCCTGTTCTGAACTTGTTTACCGAACATTAGGAAATTAACCTCAGGGTTCTCCTCTGAAGCTCAATATCATTCAATAAATAGGCTTTTTCTAGCTTTTCCCCAGGAAAGGGCTCTAGTTCCTGGAGAATGAGCCATGGACTTAACACTGCAGAGCTGCTGCCCAATAGAGATGTGACACACAGCCAAGAGCTATTTTAAATTGTCTAGTAGACACATTTAAAAAAGTAAAAGTAAACAAGTGACAGTAACTTAAATAATAGTTTTATTTAATGTAAGATATCTAAAATATTATATGAAATTTCAAGAACAATTATTAATATGATAATTTGCTATAAACATTCGAGTGCAGATATCTTTTTTATAGAATGTCTTTTGTTCTTTTGGGTAGATGCCCAGTCATGGGATTGCTGGATCAAATGGTAGTTCTACTTGTATTTCTTTGAGGTATCTGCATATTGCTTTCCACAGAGGTTGTACTAGTTTGCAATTCAACCAGCAGTGTAGAAGAGTTCCTATAACTCAACATCCATGCCAACATTTAGTGTTTTGGGACTCTCTTATAAAGGTCATTCTCACTGGAGAAACGTGATATTTCATTGTGGTTTTGATATGTGTTTCCATTATGATTAGAGATGTCGAGAATATTTATAGCAGCAGAATTCACAATTGCAAAGATGTAGAAACAACCCAAGTGCCCATCAATCCATGAGTGTATTAATAAAATGTAGTACATGTATATCATGGAGTTCTATTCAGCCACAAAATCCAATGGCAGTCTAGCATCTCTTGTATTATCCTGGACAGAGCTGCATCCCATTCTACTAAGTGAAGTATCCCAAGAATGGAAACGTAAGCACCACGTGTACTCACCATCACATTGGTTTTCACTGATCAACACTTAGGTGCACATATAGGAGTAAAATTCACTGGGGGTAAGGCAGGCTGGTGGGAAGGAGGGGATGGATGTATACACACATAATGAGTACGATGAGCACCATCTGGCAGATGGACACGCTTGAAGCTCTGAGTCAGGTTGGGCAAGGGCAATGTATGTACCCTAAACATTTGTAACCCCATAATATACTGAAATAAAAAAAATTCTAGACCTCATTAATTCTCTTTCATGACATATATGATAGACATATCCTTCATTTTTCTCCACCCACTAGTTAATCAAATAAATATAGATGAAGCCTCCTGAATCATACCTCTAAATAATAAAAGATAATTTATGTTCTTCTGGGTGTTGGGTGTCTACACTATGTCTTTAGAGTTTCATGTATATCATTTACACTTGGAGCATGTGTCCATTTGGACTGGCCCCATTGCTAGCATACCATGGCCACATGTGGCTGGTGGCTGTGGTATTGCTCAGCCCAAAATTAGAGTATAGGGTGGGGGGCAATGGGGAGCAGTGAGCAATAATTAAGATCAGGGAGTAATAGACACTCTGTTGGAAGTGAAATAGAAGGTGGAGAGAGACAGTTGGTGCCACTGGAACCTGTTCATTCAGGGAGGTCTGTGTGAGCCCTGGAAGGACAAGAGTCCTGCTTGACCTGGAAATAAGAGCTCTGGGCAGTGGGCACAGCCAGTGCAAAGGCCCTGAGGTGGGGCTGGGCATACCTCTTCTGTAAGGGGGGGATGGGGGCGCTGTGTTTTGGAACCTGACAATACCATGTGCCTGGGGCTGGGCTAGCAGGGGGCAGGGAGACCCCCAGCAGGCAGTGGGGGACAGTGAAGGGTGCCCACAGGGATGAGCACACTGGCCACTCTCACTTGTCCTCTATGACAGCTGAGCTGCCAGACCTGGTCCTCTGTGCAATGCTTGGGAAACTCACCTGTTTTTTAAAACATCACCTTGTATTAGGTATAAGTTATATACAATAAAATGTCTCATGTTATGTGTGCAGCCTGAGGAATTCTAGAAATGCATAACCAGTGTTACCACTCTGCCAAGATCTAGAACATGAGTACTGCCCCAGGCAGTGTCCTCCTGTCCCTGCAGTTGACCTCATGGCCACCTGTGGTGGGAATGCTTATTCCCAATTGTTTATTCCCATACTTTCATTTCCCATTTGTTTATTTCCCATTTATCCATTTTATTTTGACATATGCATATATATGCTCCCAACTTTTGCTAATTTTAATGTAGATTGTTTCAAGTGTTTGAATTAAAGAATTTTTAAAAATATATTCTGAATAAAAGCATTTATATCACCTGTGACTTGCTCATATTTTCCCAGTTGGTGTTAACTTTTGGTTTTCTTAATAGTATCTTTTAAAGACTGAACATTTTTAAATTTAATGAAATCTACTTTTTCAGTATATTTTTTATGGATCATACTTTTGGTGTTTTAGCTAAAAACAGCCTCACCAACAAACCTAAAATCATGTCTATTTCCCCCTATAATATATTATAGTCCCCCTATAATATATTATAGTCTTTTAGTTTTAGATTTTACACTTTAGTCTATGGTCTATTTTAAGTCCATTTTTGTTAAAGTTGTGAAATATGTATCAAGGTTCATTTTCCTGCATCAGCAGATCATATTATTACAGTGTCTCTTATTGAAGAGATTGTTCTTTCTTTGGGAATTGTCTGTTCACCTTTGTCAAAACCCAGTTGAATATATTTCTGTGAGTCTGTTTCTTGAATCTCTTTGTATTCCATTGTTCTATGAGTCCAGCCTTCCACCAAAACCACACTGTCTTGAAGACTGTAGCTTAATGGCAAGCCTTGTGATCAAGTAGGTTGTATCCTCTAACTTTGTTCTATTTCAGAAGAGTTTTGGCTCTTCTAGTACTTTTGCTTTTGTATATTTTAGAATTAGCTTGATGATAATCTACAAAAGAATTCTGCTAGGATGTTCATCTGCAGTACAGTGAATCTACAAACAGAAATGGGGAGTGCTATCTTCTTAGCAATATATAGACTCTGAATCCCTAGGTATGTCATGCCTCTCTTCTTTTACTTAAATCATCTCTTATTTCTTTCATAGATATTTTGGAGTTTCCAGCATACAGATCCAGCACTTCTTTTGTTAGAATTATTCCTAACTATTTGCTTTTATTTTAAATAGTAATTTAATTTAAAAATTATTTAACTGTTCAGTTATGATACGTTATTGTATAATTGTACATAATATATGCTGTAATAGTGTATTGGCCTTTGATACTAAAACATTGCTAATTTTAATCATTAGTTACAGAGGCTTTTTTGGATATTGTATGTTTCTGATAAAAATCATTCATTTTAATCACAAATAGAGTCAGTTGCATTTCTTCCTTTTTAATATGCATGCCTTTTATATCTTATATCTGTCTCATAGCACAGTGTAAGTCTTCTAATACAATACTGAATGGGAGTGACTTGTTCCAAGTCTTAGGAACGAAAATATTCAATCCTCAGCATTAAGTATGTAGATCATAAAACATATCCTTTATTTGGCTAAGAAAATTCTCTTTTGTTCCTAATTTTCTGACAGGTTTTACCAGAAATGAAAGTTAAATGTTATTTCATGCTTTTTCTGCATCTAATGTGATTGTTAAAATAGGATTTCTACAGTAGATTTCTTTGAATTTTGAATAGTAAATGAGCCTTGTTTTTCTCATTCATAATGTATCACCCCAGTTAGATAGATAAACGTATAGAGTAGCTCAATATCATGTGGTAATTAAAAAAAGTGTTTCTCATCTTTGATCATGACTGCTATTAGTCTATAGTTATCTTTTCTCATAATACTATTTTTTGGTTTTGGTATTAGTGTAATGCTGGCCTTGTACCACGAGTTGGAAAGTGTTTCCTTCTATTCTTCTGAAAAAAAAATGGGTACAGTTGGAATTATCTTGACTTTAAATATTTGTAGAAAACCGAAACAATTGGTGACTAGGTTTTGGAGGAAAGATTTGATTTGCAAATTCAATATCTTAATTGATTTAGATCCTTTCAAGTTATCTATTGCATCTTCAGTGAGGTTTTGTTGTATGTCTTGAGTCTATCCAGGAGTTTTTAAATCTCAGTTATCAAATTTGTGTGTGTAGAAGTGTTTGTAGTAGTATTACTTTATTATCCTTGTAATAATGATAGAGTGCATTGATAATCTCTCTTTTAACTGTGCTATTGGTAATGTGCACCTTCTTTCTTTGTTCTAATTAAATCTTAGTTGATCTTTTCATAAACATAAACATGCTATCAGTTTTTTTGATTTTCCTCTCTCTCTGTAATTTTAATTTCACTAATTTCTGCTTTCATTGTTGTTAGTTATTTTCCACAGTTTGCTTTGGTTTTAAATTAATATTCTTCCTCTGAATTCTGCAAGCAGTATTTCAGGCCACTCATGTGGGATCATTATTTTTTTCTAATGTCCACATTTAATATTACGAATTTTCCTCTAGGCAAATTTGTGCTTCATCCTGCAAAATTTGATACGTAATAGAGTAATTTTTATTATGTTTAAAATAAGTTTAATTTAATTTGACACTTTCTCTATGTCCCATTGGTTATTTACAAATGTGCCACTAACTTTTTATAATTTGAGAATTTTCCAGATATATTGCTTAGAGATTGATAGTTTAATTCCACCACACTCTAAGAATACATTTTG